GAGCCCCAGCAGCTGACAGAATTACCTAGTCTCCCAATGCCAGGCAATTCACGCGCGGTCTATCTTCCCTTGTCAGGACACTCCGGATGTCAAAGCCACCTTTGACTTCAACATTACATCTCCGCTCCCGGTCATGACCAGCGGCCTGCCAATTCGCAAGTCATCTGTGGAGTCAAAGGCGGACCACCAACTGTATCGATTCCACCAATCGGTACCAATCCCCAGCTACCTCTTTGCAATTGCTAGCGGGTAAGAATTCCTCCATTTCCAAAGTTATTGTTCACTAACGCACAACTCCACAGTGATGTCGCCGAGGCTCCAATCGGACCCCGGAGTGTCGTTGCAACCAGCCCTGATAAGCTGGAAGAATGCAAATGGGAGCTTGAGGCTGATACCGAGAACTTTATCACAACAATCGAGGTACACAGCCTATGTTCTACTCATGTTAAGGGTCAATTCTGACTTCGCACAGAAAATTGTTTACCCTTATGCCTGGGGCGAGTACAACGTTTTGATCCTGCCGCCCAGTTTCCCGTATGGCGGTATGGAGAACCCGATTTTCACTTTTGCAACCCCGAGTATCATCTCCAAGGTACATACTATACTCCGTGGAATGGTTATAGACCATGACTAATAGCTCCCCCAGGACCGTGAGAACATCGATGTCATTGCCCATGAATTGGCTCACAGCTGGAGTGGTAACCTGGTTACCAATGCCTCATGGGAGCACTTCTGGTTGAATGAAGGCTGGACGGTTTACCTCGAGAGAAGGATTTTGGCCGCCGTTCACGGCGAATCTTATCGTCACTTTTCGGCCATCATTGGGTGGAAGTCTCTGACTGACGCCGTCGAGCATTTTGGTGACGATCATGAGTTTACTAAACTGATCGTTGATCTGAAGGGCAAGGATCCCGATGATGCATTCTCAAGTGTTCCTTATGAGAAGGGTTTCAACTTCTTGTTCTACCTTGAGAATCTTGTTGGCAAGCCAAAGTTCGACAAGTTCATCCCTCACGTACGCAATATCTCTTCTCTTGTTCGGTTTCTTCTATTGACCTTTCTTTTTCTCGCAGTATTTCACAACCTTCAAGTGCAAATCGCTCGACTCTTATGAGTTCAAAGCACTGATTCTGGACTTTTTTAAGTCAGATGCCGAGGCTTCTAAGCTCTTGGAAGAACTGGATTGGGACAAGTGGTTCTATGCGCCAGGTTTACCACCCAAGCCAAGCTTTGACACATCTATGGTGGACGTTGTCTATGAACTTTCCAAGAAGTGGCAGTCCCTTCCCGACTCTTCCTTCCAGCCTCATATCAGTGACATCAAGGGCTTGACCGCAAACCAGTTGGTTGTCTTGCTAGAGCAGATGCTCTTGCTAGAGAGACCTCTCAGCCCCAAGATCTCGAAGTTGATGGGGGATGTCTATGGCTTTACCAAGAGCAATAATATCGAGGTTGCGAACCTCTATTGCCAGGTTGGCATGAAAGCAGGAGACGACAGCATCATTGAGCCAACAACCGAGTTGCTGGGCCGCATTGGACGGATGAAGTTTGTGCGACCTTTGTAAGATGTCCCCGTTCTATTCCTAGATTCCGTTCTTGACACTGACCTGGTATTTTTTTTTTTTTAGATTCCGCAATCTCCAAAAGATCAATCGCCCTGTCGCCCTCGCAACATTCGAGAAGTACAAGGACTTTTATCACCCTATCTGCCGAGGCATGGTGGAAAAAGATCTGTTTGGCAAAAAAGACAACTAGGTCTTTCTCTGTGTCGTGTTTTGCTGAAGTAGGTAGACCGTGAGTGCTCATTTTATCTTGAACAATAAAAAATTCTTATGCAGAAAGAGTAGGGCAATTAAATATTGTACATGTCTTTATAACCAAATGGTGTAAAATAGCAGAATAGATACCACGAAGGCAAACACTCACTTGTGCAAGGATATCCCCTCATTTGTTTGCTTGGACGAGTTTCTTGTCCGTCTCGGAGTACTCAAACATGCCAGTGTTCTTCTGGTCACGCCCAAGAGCAAAAACAAGATCCACCTCGTCCTTCTTTGATAGCTCCGACAAGACTCGGCGCATGTAGGCCACCACCTGGGCAACCTTAGCCCAGTCAATTTCTTCTTTCCCATCCGGTCCGGTCTGATTTCCCTTCCAGAGGTTTCTCCAGACAGCGGCGCCCAGCACCGCATCGCCTTTGGCCAACCCTTCATCATATGCAGCAATGATTCCACGCCATTGAATGAACAGATCCTTCAGGTATTTATTGCGAATAGTACGACTACCCAGATCATGATACGTGTCCATGCGGTGCTCCGCTTCATGCGAAAAGTGGTCGATCAAGTGGCGGGAGTAGGTAGTAACGCTATCGCGATTGGGTAGGGCACGAAGGCGAACCGTCAAGAGGTACATGTGAAGGAAAGTCACCTGGGACCAGGTAGAAAAAGTTGGTAAGAGGCCGAGCTCTACAGCAACGGAATTAGCTTGTTTTCCAACCGGATCATAATCCAAGCCAGAGGCCACTAGAATTGTCTCACCTTTATACCACCAACCCTCTCCAACACCAAGATCCTCACCAGCTCCCGTTTTCGGGACCTCCGCTCCTTTTTGCGACGCTTGGGGGATCTTGTAATCCGCTTGGCTGGAACATGCCTCAAATAGCTTCTGTGTCATGCCATACGCGACATAAGTCTCGGCAGCATTTCCAGGTCTCCGGGAAAAGTCTCTGGCCAAGTCGGAGACCTTGCTTTGCGAATATGATCGCGTGGTGATCGATTTCAATGGCTGTTCCATAGACGCGCACGAGGCGGAGACCAGTGCTATCGGGCTGCGAATAGCAGATCTGAAAAGGCAGAGATTCTGGGACCCGCGAATTTCGCGCGCCCATAGTGTTGATAATCTCCTGGATGACATTGTTGAGGATGTGGAATTCTTGAATCGGTCTCTCGTGATTGGTGATCTGGATCTTTTTCTTGATAAAATATGTTTGCATTGTTTGTTCCGAAGGCTCAGAAGACACCCGAGTGCTCCTCTTACACTTGTGTGTATAAACATGAACCTTGCCAGCTGCTACTGTACTCGATTGCTTTTTTTGCACTTTTATATTCTATGTGGAGCTCCTGCTGGTTATTCGGCTAATAATTTGGTGCTATTTAACTTAAGCTCTATCCCACTCATGTTCACCTGCATTTGAATGTATTTCATGAATTTGATCATTAATTGTGGCAGTAGTCCTGCAACCCAACTAATCAAGTCTAATAGAAGACTTATGGGGGCGGATCCGGGGTATTTTCGTTCCTAATGTTCAGCCGTGTATGCTTGTCATGATCGAGTGGTGTATTTTGTTTGTGGAGATGATCAGTTTCTAAATGACGACCATCCCAATAACACTGATATCTGTATCCAAGCCAGATGGCTGGCTACTCCCCGGGGTCAACCAGGGAATATGGAGCGTAGATCTCAGTCGCCTAGCACCAATCGCTCGGAGTGCCTTTCTACAAGAGGGAGAATCTCAGAGAGTCGGTTAGGATCTCTCAAGAAAGCCGGAATATCGTCCCTGTTTGCTGCTAGCATCTGTGGATGATTGTCAGACCAAACATACATCCATGTTATCCAATCAGCAGACCTACTTGTCGAACTTTCTCATATTCACACTCCTTTGAGAGATATTCTCGGATAACTTCACCTGTGGCAAAGTCCACATAGACTCGAGTGTCTCGGAGTCGAATCAAGACGTGGTCAAGCCTCATGAAGAACCTAGTCAATAAAAGGAGTCTTCCTGGCATGACTCGGATCTTGCAAGATAGCATGGTAATCCCATTGTCCGCCAGCTCGTCTTCATAAAGTACAACCTCATCAAAAAAGAGGATGGGGTCCGGGCGCTTCAATAGTTCAATCGGAATGGGTTTCGTCGTGGACTCAAACGGCCGCGCATTAGGACGGAGGGTACCCTTGTAGTCGGTGCTATATGACCAGTCGAACGGCTTCACGACTTCTTTAATCCCTTCATGAGTTTTCTCTCTGAGTACCCGGTCATTAGTTGCAATGATAGATTAAGCGCAAGTGAGGAGGCTGCGAAAATACCTGCTCTTTTGCCACTCTCCCGAGTACGCGACCTGGAGCATGGATTGACCAGTCTTGTCCACCAAGTCCAAGGCGTCAAACGCATTGAAATTGATACCCCAATTACCACTTTCATGCTCTATTGCAACATAATTGTCCCCAAAAATCATTTCCGGAGGTGCAATGCCGAGTTTCTGGGTCATTTCTTCGATCGGATCGGCTTTAAGAATGGGCAGCTTCTGTGTTGAGATTCGAAACCCGTTGATAGTGATCGAGTTGGGTTTCTTCGCCTCCGGAGAGACTGTGGCACATGTTGTTGCCATGGTTAAAGCTTGATAAGAGCAAGAGATCAAGACCAGCTGAGGACCTCCAGGGCTATGTATAAATGTCCACAGGTTTGCGATCAGAGCTGATAGCGATAACCCCGCGGGCGGAGAAAGAGGCGGTCCGACCCTGCAATATTTGTTCGGCAGAATATTTAAAGGCTGAAGAGGCTTTGATTTCATATTGATAATCGATGGGTCCTTTGCAACTTTTTTTTTGTGGTAATTTCATGTTCCATTTGATTCAGATATTTTCGTCGGCTGAAATGTAGACAGTATGTCGGCAGCTCGAGCTGTAGATACAGCATACTCTTTGGGCATATTATTGGTACGGAGGATATACATAGGCGCCCAGAGCGGAGATAATGGCGGTGTGATAGGGTACACATATTACATCAGCCGGGCGTTGCTAGGGTGACGATGTGGGGATCGCCCAAACACCCGTGCTTCTGTTTCTCTCTCCATCTTTGCGATATTCCCCCATCGAACGACTGACTCCGTGCAAAGTGATCATGATTGCACTGGAGTAAACATAAACTCGGATTTGGATAATTTTATACAATTCGTTTCTTCCCATCCCTATTTTCGCCTCCCATTAATCCCATACACCGTCTCACCATGGCGACAGCCAAAACGCTCGAAGCTCGCTTTGAGCATCTGTCCATGAAAGATGAAAAGGAAAATGGAAACAACGATCGAACCTATGGCAAGCAAAAGGTACTTGACTCAATGCGATCTGGTCGGAGATTCACCTTGCTGATCTGATCTACCAAGGCCCCGGTCTCTTCAGCCCAGTCAAACAGCAATTCGAATCGAGCTCAACTACTGAAATTGGCTCTTCAAAATAATAATGAAAACAAGGCAAATGCCATGAACGTTCCAGCCTCGCCAGGTAGAGGCTCCCATGGCGCATTGGTGACCCGAAGCACCGATGAAAACGGTGATCACCGCACATCTTCCCTCTGCGAGCAGCCAACTGTCCCCAAGGAACTGCACTTGGGAATGTTTGAAATCGGTAAACCATTGGGTAAGGGAAAGTTTGGGCGTGTTTATCTTGCCAAGGAACGTTCCTCTGGCTTCGTCTGTGCACTGAAGGTGCTACACAAGTCAGAGTTACAACAGGGTGGTGTTCAGAAGCAAGTCAGGCGTGAAATCGAGATTCAGAGTAATCTACGTCATCCTAATGTCTTGAGACTCTATGGTCACTTCCATGACAGCAAACGAATCTTTTTGATCCTCGAGTTTGCTGGCCGTGGTGAGCTGTACAAGCACCTTCGCAAAGAGCATCGGTTCCCGGAATGGAAGGCCGCACAGTATATTGCGCAGATGGCTGCAGCATTGAAATACCTGCATAAAAAGCACGTCATGCACCGTGATATCAAGCCCGAGAACATCCTTGTTGGCATTCATGGAGAGATCAAAATCAGTGATTTCGGCTGGAGTGTCCATGCCCCCAACAACCGACGCCAAACGATGTGTGGAACTCTCGACTACTTGCCCCCAGAGATGCTCAATCATGGCTCCAAGGACAATTACTACAGCGAGAAGGTGGACTTGTGGAGTCTAGGTGTCTTGACTTATGAATTTTTGGTGGGCGAGGCTCCGTTCGAGGATACCCCTGTCATGACCCAACGGCGGATTACCAGAGCAGATATGTCGGTCCCATCCTTCGTGAGCCCGGAGGCGAAGGACCTTATCAAGAAGGTGAGGCTATCTTTTTACCAATATCTAAAGCCGCTTGCTCACATAATATCTAGCTTCTTGTTCTTGATCCTGCGAAGAGAATCCCGCTTGAGGAGATCCAACGTCATCCTTGGATTGTCAAGCACTGCGAGAAAGACGATCGAACTGTGAAGCGAAGTTCGGGTTCTTCCAAGGAGGGCAAAGTATGAACCATGACTTGTCCCTTGCATTACAGAGTTTCTGGGAGTTCTGGCTATCTTTTTTTTACGTCTCTCATGTGGAGTTTTGGTGTTCTGAGCCTGCAAGCATCTTCAAGGCGTGTTGGGTTTGTCTTGGGAGTCAAGCTGGAGAGGTACTCGCGATATGGCGATATTTTGATCTTAATCTTATTTCGCCTCCGACGTGTTGAATACAACATGATACACTCAAACAACTTGACAGGAAGGCACAGCTAGCTGTGGTCTCTGTCATATTTTGCATAAATAACCAGAACGTAGGGCGGAGAGCAGTATAGGCCTGGTACCTGTAAGCTGTGTTCCCGGACTTCAGTGACAACCACTATCATAGACTATATTTTTTGATCTCGTCTCGCCTCTAGTGACCTAAATCGGATGATATATAGCTGTGGCTTTTTTTGCACGTAAAAAATCCCAAAAAAATCGAGTAGATAGGCGAGAAGGTTCCTGTCGCTAGTGAAACCATAAAATATAGTACATCTAAACAATATCTATCATACAAAAGGGTGGAGAATATGTAGTACAACGCTCCATGGGTGTGGTATCATCGGTAGATCTCATCAAATGGGCGCGTGTCCCTGAAACAACTATCCCAGACTTCATTGACAACCCTTGTGGCATGGGCTTCGTCCTTGCAAGTCGGTCGTGCTCGCACAGAGAGGATGGCTCTCCGTCGGACACACTCTTGGTGCTGTTGTGTAAGCTTCCACTGCCCTCTTCGGAAGAATTCGCGTGCCCATCTGCACTCGCCGCTGAGCGAACTAGCCCGAATCTAGAGGGGATTTAGTGAACATTGACCTACCTGTCAAGACGACAAAAATAAAACATACCTCGGTACACGCCGCGTGCCGCAGATTATCAGACCAATTCACCTTGAACCTGAGGTGGTCAAATGCATGAACCATCTCATGGGCCATAGTATCTTCGAGGTGTCCCTGGTCCTTCATCTCATTTGCGCAGATCAAGATTCCAAATTCTGGATCGAAGCCACCACCCTTTCGATCCGTGCAGCGACGACAATAGATATTATGACTGTGAAGATCGCCTCCTAATTGTTGAATGCTTTCGCTGAGGAATCGAATTGTAGGACCTTCATAAATTGACCTTGTCAGTATCCGGCTCAGATGACTCTTGAACTAGTGACTCACTATATTGAAGAAGATAATCTCGCTGATCCTCACATCGCTTGCAGTCTGCTTCTTCATTGCGAGCGTCTCGCGCGACACGGAACTTTTCGATTCCTTCGTTGGACATCTTGCCCGTGAGGATGGAATATATATTGCGGAATTGGGTCCATGTGTCATCGCCGGGAAGGAAGCCTGTAGTATCGGGCTTTGCATTTGAAGGTGCAGTCGCACCTGGCGACTGGGAGTCTGTCATTTTTCGATCTTGGAGTGTCGAGATTCATGATCACTGCGCGCGATAAAGCGAGATCCTCCGCAAATGGCGGTAGTGACTGGCAGAATCAGCGCCGGAATCGGGCAAAAGGTGCTCTTCTGCGGTTCATCGCGGGGCAGTGAACAAGCCGTTTTATATATATTTTTTTCGTTGCTAGGAGGTTTATTTGGGCTAAAACTCGCATCATGGCGACCTCATCAGGTCTTACAATTGTGATCAAATTAGGTGCGGGGATCTATATCTACTGATGGCTCGTGTATTGACCATGTAATAGGAACGAGTTCGATTGTTGACGAGAAAACCCACGAGCCGATTCTTTCGATCTTGACATTGATTGTGGAAACCGTAACCAAACTACACAGAGATGGCCACCGGGTCGTCCTTGTATCATCCGGTGCCGTGGGCGTTGGTCTGCGAAGGATGAATGTGGACGAGCGACCAACATACCTGCCGCGTATACAAGTATGTCTTTAATTCTGCAGAAACCGCAGCTCACACAAACTATCTAATTGAAAAGGTGCTAAATGAAATCTATAGGCTCTCGCTGCAGTTGGCCAATGTCGACTGATGAGTCTTTGGGATAATCTATTCTCGCATCTTCGTATCCCTGTTGCTCAGATTCTTTTGACGAGAAATGATATTGCTGATGTATGTACTCTTATATCTGCTCAAGCCTGCTTCTTCACTAACACCCAATACAGCGAACTCAATATGTCAATGCGCAAAATACATTTGGTCAATTGTTTGATATGGGAGTGATTCCTATTGTCAACGAAAATGATACCCTGGCCGTTTCTGTAAGGAGATCCCCTTTCAAGGCATGAATGACCTATCTGACCCAATATTTGCCAGGAAATTAAATTTGGCGACAACGATACCCTTTCTGCAATTACAGCGGCTATGGTCAAGGCTGACTATCTGTTTTTGATGACTGATGTCGATTGTCTTTATTCAGCAAATCCCCGAACCAACCCAGACGCAAAACCCATTGAAGTGGTGACCGATATTTCCTCTCTTGAGGCTGACGTCTCGTCGGCAGGCTCCTCCCTTGGCACTGGAGGTATGAGCACGAAGATTGTGGCCGCGAAGCTTGGAACCAGCGCTGGTGTCACGACAGTCATCACCAAGAGCTCAAAGCCAGGCAACGTTCACGACATTGTGAAGTACCTACAATATCTCGAGGCTCGGTCCAATGGCGTAGCAACTGACGACCAAAACGAGCCACCCACTGCTCCTCTCCACACCCGATTCATCCGTTCGGATACCCCGATTCAATCACGGACATTCTGGCTACTCCATGGACTGTACCCCCATGGTACATTGTACATCGACCACGGAGCTTACCACGCACTTTTGAACAATGCCAATCTTCTTCCGGCTGGAGTGGTCGGGGTTGAAGGTCATTTTGGACAGCAGGAGTCCGTGCGGCTAGTAGTTGTTGATCGGCCATCGCCAGATGCCTTGAATGGGGACTTTATCCACCACAGACAGGAACCCAAGGAGGTCGGTCGGGCTCTGGTGAACTATGGAAGCATTGAAATCACACACATCAAAGGCCACCGCAGCACACAGATTGAGACGCTACTTGGCTATGCCGATAGCTACTACGTGGCGATGCGAGAGAACATCTCGTTCCACGAGGACCACAGTCACACGGTGACACCGACATTAACTCCGGCCTTGGAGGAATGGAAATTGCCTTGAGGCATAATGTTGGATCATCCATTATACGTATATTACGAACGGAAACGAAAAATTTCTTGCATTCAACTGCACTGGATGGTTGAGGTTTCCACCCAAACCTTAATCGTTTCAATATAAAAGTTGCTCGGGATATATAGGTCAACAAACAAAACAGCCAAAAAAAGAGACATCTTAGTGGTAAATAAATACCCCAAAAGTATGACCTCCAAGGCGTGAATGGAAACACTCGGAATTAGATGCTTCCACACCAACCGAAGCGCCATGTAAAGATATTCGAGAAAATAAAAGTGACATGCTCGAAACCATATCAATCATTCCAACGATCCAACCAGTTTTGCATTCTCTTGTCCAATGTGGGCGCAGGAGCGGGGGCAGCCTGAACAAAAACAAACAGATTAGCTTTCAATATCAATCACAACCATACATTCAAACATCGAACTCACTGTATTCTCGATGCTGTTCGCTGTCCATGTTGCAAAAGCTGTATCCGTGTACTGGACAGTTGGCGCACCGAGGTAGGCAGTGGCAATGGAGAACGGGAAAGGCGGATATTGAGGAGTGGCCGATCTAGTTGCGATAGTAGTCCCAGCGCTCTTGGGCATTGGGGCATATTTGATTGAGCCAGTCTGCTCGCCGTATGGGACAGTATGCTGGTTAACCGCAGCAACATCTCCGATAGCAGCCACCTGTCTTTTACGCAATTCATTGCGCTCGGCTTCGCCTTTGACGGTTGGGGTTGGGAATTGTAAAACCTTTTTGGTTGAGGAACTCTTGGTGAGACTCGAGGTGCTGAAAGTTGAGGTGATCTCTGCGGCCTCGATGAGGTGGCCGTCGTCTCCAACCGTAGGCCAGGGAAGAGCGATGGCAGCAATCGGTTGCATTGTCTTGATCGCATCTGTTACTTTGGCCGAGAAGGTACCTTTCATGTTTGTCAAAGTGAAATGGGAAGTGAACCCGGACCGGTGATTATGAGGACCTGATAGAACAATCTTAAGGAAGCTGAGTGAAACCGGGGGACATTGGTCAGTCATACAAAGGAACAAAGGAATTTGATGAAGCCACAGATACTAGGGGGGAATGGTCTCACTATGCATTGGGTCCGTTTCCACCGACACTTTGGTCGACTTGAAATGAGACCATGTCACCAGAAGAATAGGCACCATTGTTAATGACCTGTGATAGAGTGTCCTGAATATGTGGTTAACGCCATGTTTTCGGTTTGTAGCACAGAGAGAAACATACATATGAACCTGTCGTCTCGTCACCGGCACAGAGATAAAAATCATAAGTTGAAGCTGGCTCACTGTCTAGACCCCAAAGCAGACTCACGGCAGCTGCGCCATCGAAACTCATATCATCTGTTGTGATCTGAGAGCCGATCTGGCCATAGGCGGCCGTAAATAACAAGGCGACCTGAAGCAATTGAACTCGCATACTGATATGATTGAGAAACATGAGTTTCTAGAGAACAGAGAGTAACCTCCCAGTTAAGAGAGAGGGCAATCATCCCTTCATAAGGCTTGGTATGTGCATCATTTGCATGCATTCCTAAGCCCTTGGGCCCTTGAGGATATAGAAACATCTGATGCGCACTAAGATAAGGTGAGTGGTCCGTGCTATCCTTCAGTTCTCCTGTCAAAGTGTCGGCCCACCACTTTCGACAACTCACAACCATGTCGTCTCAAGCAAACTGGAATTCAGTGACTGGCATTGCCACACTGCTGTTCGATGGCAACCTTGTCGCCATTGCTATTGCCATCCTCTTCACCTTTGGTGTCCCGATCGCACTGCACATCTTCTTCTTCCAGGCTGTAGCCTCTCCACCCTCGAGTAATTTCCTACTGCTTGGCCCTAGTGGAGCTGGAAAAACTGCATTTACAACCTTGGTAAGTTCTTTAGGACCCGAGAGAATGCTGAATTCCTTGCTAACTGATCTATAGCTCGAGGCCAAGTCCTCACTCGCTTCGAACAAGTCGCACAGCACCCACACCTCCCAACAATCAACCTTAGTAACCGTGACCTTACCACCCACTGTCCCAACCGGATCCAACCGCTACCGATCGGACAATGACCCCTCCTTGAAGGAGGCCATGCGGAATCCAATCAAGTACCGCATAAGGGATACCCCTGGCCATGGCAAGCTCCGCGTCTCGCAAGGGATCTCCGAACTCCAGACCATGTCCCAGTCAAAAGACATCAAGACAAGGCTACGTGGCGTGGTGTTCATGGTCGATACCGCTGCTCTAGTTGATGAAGCGACGCTCCGTGACACCGCGACCTATCTGCACGACGTTCTTCTCTTTCTCCAGAAGCGCGCAAAGAACGGGTCATCAAGCAAGCGGACCACTGATGTCCCTGTCTTAGTCGCCGCCAATAAGCAGGATCTATTCACTGCACTGCCACCAGGCGCGGTGAGAGAGAAGCTGGAGGCGGAGATTGATCGCATCCGTAAGTCGAAGACCAAGGGTCTTCTGGATGCTAGTGCGGATACTGGGTTGGAAGACGAAGAGGAGATTTTGGGTAATGATGAGCAAGAGACCTTCAGCTTCAAGCTCCTGGAGCACGAGGTTGGTATTAAGGTTGATGTGGTTGGTGGTGCTGTCAAGGGTGACTTGCAAGAAGAGTTCGGATCTGGAGTGCGCCGCTGGGAGGAGTGGGTTGGTATGTGCTTGTGATCGCTACGAGTTTTTTTTTTTGCTCTCTTGTCTTGATGGCCCGAAATAGTAAATAGGTGGTCCTATCATGGCTTACTTGTATATGTTATGCTAGAAGGAAAAAAAAGTTGCCCCAAGGTTTTTGAGACACTACAATGCTGGTTTATTTTATTGATATTGTCAATCCAACCCCAGTGTCCCTGTAGCTTGTGCATCAATCCAATCCTGTATGGTCAACAATGATAGAAATATAACGGCGTGAAAGAAAACATAGTACTCACCCACAGATCTCGAGCAAGCTTCATATCTCCAGATGTCGCACTGGACTCACACAGCGTAGCGATAGGTATAAAATACTGACCACGATGGTCCTGCTCTCGCACTTCATGACTAGCAACAAGATATAAAGCTGTAGCAGCTCCATCCTCCGGACTTTGACCTAACCACGATCCTACCATTCTTATAAGCCAACCTAGGAAACCCCCAAAATAAGAATTCCACCCGCGCCATTGATCAGTAACGATATTGCCTGGGAAGAACGAATTAACATAGATCTGCTTGCTCGCTGGATCTTGATCGTCTAGAAGCCGCCGACTGAGCTCTTTGGCAAAGAGGATGTTACCCAGCTTTGACCGGCCATAGCGCCACACTCCATCGTACAACGCGGGCCATTTGACGCGTGACGATGAGAACAGAAGATCCAGATCAAGCTGTTGGCACCAAAAATGGAACGATGAGCTGGTCACAGCAATTCGTACGTCACTGCTAGGCGTCACTCCATTCTTTAACAGAGGTAAGAGTGATGTGGTTAGAACTTGGTGTCCGATGCAGTTTGTCGCGAATACACGCTCGATATTCTGGGGTGAGCACTTGCATTCATTTTGAACGCTGATGGCTTCATTTTGGAGAGATGTATTAATACGTAACGATTCAATTGAAATTGAGAGACGGAGCTCACCTGCATTGCAAATCAGTATATGAATCCGGCTTGTGAGTTGCTTGATCTTCGCCACTGCGGCCTTGACATCCCGAATATCCCCCAGATCGCACTTGACAAACTCAGCTCGAGTATCGTTCTCGAGTGAGATGCCTTCGCGGTGTCTCCATTCCTCGCGAGCAGTGGTGTATCTGTCTTCACTTCTGGCAATGATGATCACTTTCTCTATGCCATGTAAAAGAAGCTGGGCGGTGATTTCTGTATTAATTATTATACTTTGCCGGGTATTCAATTAGCTTGAGATCAGGGGCTCATGCTTGCCTTTGCCAATGCCTGCTTGTCCACCCTGAGAAATTAGCTGCTGGGTCGAGATATAATGAGAGAACTCACTGTCACCACAGCCACTCGTCCATTTAACGCCGGTGTATTTGCTAGGGGGAAGTTTCGATATGTAAATATTCCTGTCATCTCGAGTTGGGGCAAAATCGAAAGGATTCCCAAGCGAAGGTGGCAGATATATCTGAAATCGACGTCATCGCCACCTAACCCTGAACAGATCTGAAAAAGTACCATATATAATTTTTTTTTTCTTCTATGGTATGTATTAAGTATGTATCACATTGAACACCTTTGCGCTGCACGATCTAGGTAATCCATTCCCACAATGTGTTGAATCCCATCGGGGAAGCCTTCATGCCAACGCAAGAGAAACGCCTATCCCAAAATATCAAAGAATGTTCAGGAATGTTGAACCCCTACCCAACAAGCAATGTCTCATGCGAATGCCTTTCAGGAAAGAAAAGGAAACCATTTTAGGCCTTGTTCGCCTTGGACTGGTGCAGCATCCAAGTGAGCAGATCGACCTTGGTAACGATGGCCAATGGCTTCATCGCACCACTTGCATCCTTCTCGGTCACAACTGCAGCGCTGTTCCACTCGAAGAAGCGGTTCAGGACACTGAGAGGGGTATCCATGGTGATCTCGATGAAGCCGCGATTCCGGGTCTGGGGCTTGAGGGAGTCCATACCCTTGGAGAGATCACGGGGGTCGGTGACCACCTCGGAGATCTTGGAGAAGTCAAACATGACATCGGATACGGGGCTCTGGGCCGAGGCCCGGCCGTGCGTCAGTCGGCTGAGAACGTTGCCTAGCGTCACGAGACCGACGAGCTTGCGCCCAGAGGGGGCAAGGACGGGAAGTTGGTCGAAACCTCGGTCACGCATCACCTCGATGGCAATCTCACAAGGAGAGTTGGCTGTCACGGTGGTGATGGGCTTCAAGCGCAAAGCGCTGACCTTGGCATTGGCCAGAGGGTTAGACTCGGGCTCCTGGGTTTGAGTGGTCGATGCAACGGCGGGAAGCGACGGGAGCAGATCGTTGGCTGCGAGCCAGTCGTCATCGGCGAACTTGGACCGGTTAGCCTGAATGCAAAATAAATGAGAATAAATGAAAGACTTGTTCCTACCTTGGAAAGGTAACTTCTGATGCTATCGGGAAGAATCACGACGACGACATCGTCCTTGGAGAACTTCTTGGCCTCGTTAGCCTTGACCATAGCGGCAATGGCACTGCCACTGCTACCGCCGACCAGCAGACCCTCCTCGGCGATCAGACGGCGGGAGTACTTGAAAGACTCCTTATCTTCGGTCTTGATCCATTGGGTCACGGCCTTTTGGTCCAAAACCTCGGGGATGAAATCATATCCAATACCCTCGACCTTGTAAGGCTCATTGGCACGAGCTTCGTTGAGGGAGGGCGGGAGGGCAAGAATAGAACCAAAGGGATCAGCGGCGATCACGTTGATATCGGGGTTGTGCTTCCGCAGGCCATTGGCAAGACCGGTGATCGTACCGCCGGTTCCAGCACCAGCGACGATAGCACTGATCTTGCCATTGGTCTGGGTCCAGATCTCCTCGGCAGTGCCAAGCTCGTGTGCCAATGGGTTGTTGGGGTTCTCGTATTGATCCAAGATGTGGGCGTTGGGCAATTCCTTCTCGAGACGTCTGGCCACACCGATATGCGACTCGGGTGAGTCAAAGGCAGCTTCATTGGGGGTTCGGATGATAGTCGCGTTCAAGGCACGCAGAACGGCGACTTTCTCGGCGGACATCTTCTCTGGGAGAGTGATGATGGTCTTGTAGCCTGAATAGAGAAGAATAGACCGAATTAGGACGGATCGGACAAGAAAAGCATAGAGAATAGAAACATACCCTTGACAGCACCAACCAGTGCCAGACCAATACCACTAATGAATCTCAATTAGCATCCGTGGCCTATGACCTTGAATGGAAAAAAAAAAAAAAAAAAGAACCTACGTGTTGCCACTGGTGGGCTCGATGAGAGTATCACCAGGCTTGATGCGACCAGATCGCTCAGCCTCTTCAATCATGCGAAGGGCAATGCGATCCTTGACACTGCCACCGGCATTGAAATACTCGCACTTGGCGTAGACGGTAGCATCGATTCCCAAGGTGCGGGGCAAACGGTTCAATCGCACAAGGGGTGTATTACCGATCTGCTGGGTAATAGTGTCCAAAGTGACCGGCGGATTACCGGGAGTTGTGATAGAAGCCATGATGTGTGAATTCTTGGAGTGAGTAAAGAAGGAAGTTGGAAATTCGCAAGTCGAAGATTTCGCCTGCGCCCCGCCCGATGATAGCCGGATTTTTCTTTGGTGGGCCCAGATCTATGGACTTTTGTTATTTGGTATATAAATTGGATTTGTATAGGATTTATATAGTTATATTGATACAGCTGTGGCTATATGGTTGCAGTTATATGGTTGTATTTAGGTGTAGTTATATAGTTGTGGTATAGTGATACAGAGACTATACCGAGATAAATCCAGTACCTCGCATCGCATCTATGTGTTCAAGAGCCATGTCTAGCCTAGTACTGGTAACCTGACTGCTACACATCCAACACTCGCTCTGAAGAAAGCCGATCTCTACCCATAGTTGATTGGTCAATTTTCCCAAGGTCATATTGACCAAGATCAAGCTCAAGCTTTATCTTGTGCCGATATGGAGTCCATACTTTATTCTGCAAAGCCAAGGTCGTGGCTGTGCAGAAAATATGATATATCCACACAGAATTGGTGTTTCATCCCGAGACTGCCAATATTACCCAGAAACACCAATACTCTGGGCAAGAAAGGTCTATTCTGGACATCTGGATGCTGAGTATAACTCGTTCTTTGTTTTTGTTTTTGGCTTTCTTTTCCTCTGAGAGTCCAAGTCATGAGGTGACAACGGGATACGATCTTCATGGTAAAAAGTAAGATACGGCCTGGACTCAGCAGACTCATCCCTGAATTCATATATCGGAATACTCGAGGGCTGATTGGCTCTATTAAGTGCCAGCACATCCCACTTGTTTTTAATTGCCTCCTTTATATTGTACTCCATATGTTGTAGTCTTCTCCCCCCTCTCCTTTTTCGTGTTTTGTTTCAGCGTTTACCCTGGTCTACTTGGCGTGTTTTCATCTAGCATTCAGATCACCCCTTTGTTTTGTGTTTTTCGTCACGCCACGGTCTGGTACCTCGCATGTGCCCTGCCCAACCCTCTGATCTATACAGAGTCATTATTGGTTAGAATGGGCTCAATCAGATCAACACATTCACAGAACGTCCGTCTCCGTGGGAGTGGTGAGCAGCCGACGGCCCAGGAGAAGCGCTCGCAGAACTCAATATTGCCCACCAACTCAACCACTTCCAAGCGAGGATGGGCCTTATTTCGTGTGGACACAGCCGGAGAGAGCGGCCGTACCGGTATTCACCCATGGCATCTCCTCAAGGTATGCTTTAGGAGTGTCTGTACGCTTTCGATGGTCGTGAATATCCTCTGGCCGTTTGTCCCCGCCGCAATTGTCGTCCATTTTGCGAGACCCGATCTTCATGTCTGGATCTTCAGTCTCAACTACATCGCCATGGTGCCCTCGGCAAACCTACTCGGCTTTGCCGGTGGGGAACTAGCCAAAAAGTTACCAAAGATGATAGGCATCGTGGTTGAAACAACTTTAGGCTCTGTGGTGGAACTCGTGCTGTTCATGGTTTTGTTGTATAACCATGGTCGGTCCGAACATTCGGATCTGATTCCTGTCATCCAGGCCGCTATTCTCGGTTCCATCATGGCAAATCTCTTGCTTTGCTTGGGCATGTGTTTCTTTGTCGGCGGTATCAAGCGTCATGAGCAGAACTTCCACGAAGCCATCAGTGAAGCTGGTACCGGGTTGCTCCTTGTCGCGGGGTTCGGTCTGTTGATTCCAAGTGCGTTCTACTCCGCGCTGCGTGGAAGCGTCAATAATCATTTTACTCTGGTGGAGTTGAACGAATATGCCTTGACGATTAGCCGTGCCAGTGCGGTGATCCTGCTCGTAGCATTTTTGACGTGAGTTGGCCCTAAGCTCTTGCCCATCATCCTACTAACACTCTCTGACAGGTATCTTTTCTTCAACCTACGCAGCCACAATTCCATTTTCGATGATATCCTAGAGAAAGACGAACACCATGACGAAGACCGACACGAAGAACTTGCGAGAGCAAAGCTCACAATGATAGAATGCTTCGTGGTTATCGCCCTTGCCCTGACCTGCGTTTGCATGTCCGCCGTCTTCCTAGTCCAAGAAATCGAATATATCGTGGAGCGCGGCGTCTCGGACAATTTCCTCGGTTTGATTCTCGTCCCTCTGGTGGAAAAGGCCGCCGAGCACCTCACGGCCATCGACGAAGCCTGGGACAACCAGATCAACTTTGCACTCTTCCATTGCCTGGCCCCTTCGATCCAAACAGCACTGCTGAATGCACCGCTCACTGTCATTGTGGGTTGGGGCATGGGCAAGGATATGAGCTTAAACTTTGAGATCTTCATGGTTGTCCTCCTTGTGCTCTCGATTCTGGTCGTTGGGAATTTCTTGCGTGATGGCAAGTCCAATTACCTTGAAGGTGCTCTTTGTGTGCTGGTTTACTTCATCATCGCTGTTTGCACCTGGTACTACCCCCCAGTGCACATTGCCTCGACGAATCAGTCTTGAACGTCCGAATAGTTTTTAAGCGTGTTTGGTTGGCGAATATATTCCATACAGTATATCATATATCACTCATGGTTGGTGTTGGTGTTTAGACGAGGAGTTTGATGGGTAAACTAAGTCTCCATAGATGGTTGGAGTAAATAAGTAAATAACTGTCTGAACATCAGCCAGCACCTAGCTAGTCAGATAAGGCCACATAGTGTAATATGACCTCATATGAGACAAAACACAATATGGTCTGACTGAGTGTTATTCCAGGGTAGTCTGAGGGCGCAAGGCTTCGTTCATCAACATCTGCGCATCAACACGCAGCTCAAAGTCGGCTAGGAAACAAAAGCTGATTTCGAGTTTTGACAATTCCTGTTCACTGACTCCACCGACCTTCGCAACCCGACTATGCGGATAGCTCAAGTCCTCCAGAGCCTTCGAAGCAACCCAAACACCCGCAAGCACAAGCCTGTGCATATTCTTGGGCAAAACCCTTAACACATTCTCGACCAGAGTCATCTTCGATATATACACGCTAGCTGCGAGATAGACCGCCGTAGACATAGGACAGTACCTATGCAAACGAAGCAGATACTCATTCAACGGAATCGGGGGTACTTTCTTCGACAAAAACTTCTTCGCCAAGATCGCCATTTGAATCGTCTCTTCGGTCGCCCTCGCAGGGTCAACAGGAACGCTCGAGTCCTTAACATGTAGCCCGACAGTTTTTACCTTGAGCTCATCCTCGGCAGGGGTATCATAATCCCGAGGCGCGGGGCCATGCGCATGCAGCTCATCGGTGCCGTCAGGTTTTTGGGCGAAGTAAGCGCCTAGCCGCTCAATATTCAAACAAAGCAAGTGTAATGCAGCCTCGGGCGAAATATCAAACACAGCGGCGGGGGTCTGCAACAAATCAGGATCGTCGGGCTGGTCATGACCAATATTATCCAGCGACGAGCCGAGTTTCAGCATGGTTGGCGCAGGTTTTGCGTTTGGGTTGGAATCTGTGTCTTGGGACACGGAAGTGGTTGTAGTGTGTGTCACGGTAGTGGCCATGGTGTGTGTGGATTGTTTTCACTGCCACGCGCAGGCGCGGGCTTGGTAGGGGGTTGCGAGTAGCGCGCACCTGGACCTTGAGGTAGATGGTGGCTCCCCGGTTGGATATCTCATTTTCCAACGAGTAGTTCCTGGCCTCTGTTGGGACTTGTGCTCTCTTTGCGGCGGATCCCGGCTTCGATGGGGGTAGGTGGAGGGGGCTTTGAGGCGATATGGCTGAAGATTCCTCTTTATAGGATTGTATAGCGGGGCGAGTGGTAAGTTGTTTTGAAGTTCAGTCTACATAGAATGAGAAGCTGATTAATTTCCAAATCCAGATTAACCTCACCAAAAAAAAATTTAATCCAAGGTATCGAATGGAAATCGAATTGGAACTGATTGCATTGAATCAAGTCGACGCAAGGAGAAATGGGGAGATAAGAAAATTGCCACATGTGACCTTAATTTGTGGACTATACGGAATATACTTGAAATCATGCCCCCAAAAACAAAAGCTCCCCTCCAATACAAATACCGCACAGGGATTCTACCACACATATACTGAGTGTATTACACGTCGGTATTCAGGGGAACCTTTTGTGAGGTTATTTTACATCAAGAAAAACCACCGGGGCACATATTCTCCCCATTACCGCAGACTACCTACCTGTACTCGACAGGTGTGAGGTCCCGGCCTCCCTGCTCAGCGTACAGGACAGTAAATCTAGAGCCGGAGCCGGAGCAACCAAAAAGCTGCTTTAGAATCTATGTCGCCTGAGGACTCGTCGAGCCGAGTCCGACAGTCCACGGGATCCGTGTGAGATCACTGGAGGCTCTCCTGTTTTGTAATGCACATTTGCTTCGCGTGTATTTTGAACCAGGGTTGTTCGTGACGATGCTTGATACGGCAAATCAATGAACCGAACCTTTTTCGGTGCTCGCTCCTCCATTCTCGGCGTTGAACACGAGTCATATCTTTGTCTAGCAAAATTAGACGCCATTTCATAATCCGGGAGATCAACTACAAAGATCTTGGGAAGCGGTTGGGTTAACGTATACCGGGAACTGGAGTTGCGAACAGGTTCCGACCAGCAGGCTAAGCAGGGAGGCCAGGACCTCATACCTGTACTCAACAGGTAATCTGCGGTAATTGCGGGATATGTATATCCCAAATGTCTTTCCTGGATGTAAAATAACCTCGCAGAAGATTCCGCTGAACACTGGCGTGTAATGCGCTCAGTATATGTGCGGTGGCGTCTCTATTTTGCGCGTTAATTGCTTGTTCTCGATACTCGATCAGAGGATAGCTCGAGGACAGTGAAATGCTAATAAGTGATCCTTGAACAATGCATCTGGAAACAAAGATACTCTTGAACAAGGGTGTTGTTGCAGGAACATAGAGAAATAAAGAATGGAACTTGACGAACTTCGTTTGCAGAAGCACGGCTGAATTGCCAGGCATAGTCTGTGTAAAACATGTGGACAATGGTCTCGAAGTAGCCGATTCCTTCCAAAAGAGTAAAGATAGAGAAGTATTGGTAAATTTGGCCCGAGACAAAGCAGGTTTGACAAAGCAAGGTGATCTGATATAGATTGAAAACAAAGAGCTTTATGGCGAGATATTGACTTAATTTTTATATTCGACCGTCCGACACCTATAACGAAGTTGTTAATTGTTAATATTCAATATTCTTTCTCTCAAAAGAGAATGGCTGATACAAACTTGAGGTCACCAGGGCGCAGTTCAACGAGTCAACGTCTTAAGACCAGTTGCCTGATAGAATTATCAAGTGATATAGTGTGAGTAGCAGGGTACTCCCGAGCGAGGCGCGGCATGAAGAGCACGAGAAAACGCCAAAGATACAACGTAGGACCTGTTATTGTCCATAGCACGACCAACACAATCTTTTTCGGAGAATAAGGTCCAACACTCTATATAATTGTCATCACTGCCTAAAATATTCACTGCGCAAACATTATTTAGGAGTCTTAAGTCATCCTAACATCTTAGTGAAGGAAATCCTTCAGCCACACACCAGGCGTCAAATCAGAGGCCATGCCATTTTGGCGCTAAAACAACCAACGGCGATTAAGAGCCAACCATTGACAACTGCGACTACGAGATCAGACATAATTTCATGCATGAACGCGTAGATCCATAGAAACAATAGAATCGTGAAGAGAAAAAAATAACCTTGAACAGCAAAGTTTCGCCACAATGCCTAGGTCCACCGCTCAATTAATCTATCCTGATTGCTATCACGATGGTGGAGAACGTCCAAATTGAGCTTCTGGACCCCATTTTGAAGACTCGTGAGTTCTTTCTCGAGGTCCGATAGCGCTGACTCCTCGGAAGAATCGCGCAGTGATGTTTCATAGTGAGAGTTGGCGTGCAATGAGCAAAGAAGAAGCTGAGATGCGTTATCCAATGGCGCTAAGTGGGTCACGAGAGGAGCGTCCACTGCGATATTGAGGCTGTGAAGTGTTTCGGAAATGTGATATCGCTTCTCATGGAGGTCACCAGCCCCTCCATTCTCGCGCGGGTGGAAGATTGATTCTGGCGGTACACCAACCCGCCTCAGAAGTCTTTCGAGTGATGGTTGGGCAACTACAGGGACACTGGGCGTGCGGGCAAGAAGGAGGCTTGGCTGTAACGATCGCCGTCGCAGAGACTCCCGTCGGGATGATGGTTGTGTGACGAGTTCGCTGCCTGCTTCGGATTGGTATAACGCAGCTAGCTGTTCTAACAGTTCAGAAGACGACTCCCGGACCCCGAGTTGGTTTGTAAGATCTTGCTTTGATAAAGTCATCTCGATCAATATGTCGAGTGCCTGATATGATTTAGTTCATCGCTGGCCAATAGGACTACCGAGGTAGAGCCTCGTACCTGTTCTAATTTCTCCTGCGACGCCACTCGAAGCTGATCGTGCTCGTTCTGGAGTTCACGGAGAATAGGTTCGTGGAACTGCTGCCTGGTCGACATTTCTGCCAAGATTTCAATCTCTGGATATAGAGACTCTAGTTCTTCCTCGAGGGCAATGTTCGTTGACACATCTATGGCGTCGGGATTCGATCCCCCTGCGTGTATTGTTTCCAGATATAGTCGATCCAGACGGTAGTGTATTTCCTCTGCCACGTAGTCTGACAGCGTCGCACTGAGGTGGTTCGTACGCTTGACTGTAGATGCATCATTCCCACGATACTTGATACTGGACATGAGCGTTTCCAGATTCGCAAGAGCCTTGTCGTCCTGCTTTAACCGGGTAGACAGAGAAGCGAGGATTCTCTTGCTCTCCGCGCCCGACTTGTCCGTCGCGGTTCTAAAACTGGCCTCCAGCTCATCGGCAAGCTCAACTGCCTACATAGAACCAGGATCAGCAACACGCGACGGGTTGTGACAGACATGCCCTTACCGCCATTGTAGTATTTTGCCTCCCCGCTTCATGTTTCTTTTGCAGCCGAGCGATATCCCGGCTCCGCTGCTGCTCCACTTTGTTTTCCAGACCCAATTGCTTATTGAGGCTTGCACATTGGCATTTTAGAGCCTCGGTCTGTTTTTGAATTGTTGCCGTCGAGGCTTCGAGGGACTCGATCGTGTTGCGGAGTTCATCTTCGAGGATAGGCCGTATCGCGCCGAGGTCTGGGTTGCGGAGAATAGGTTGAAGAGCGCCAGAATTTTCGAGCTTGAGGTATCTACCTTCCATTAGTTATCTCTTGTAGATGGGATACAAATGAGGCGTACAATGCGAGCTCGTCTTTTGATAACAGAGTGTCGGGGCGAAGATGCTTGGACGCCCATTTCGCATTCCTGTCATCTTCAAATGCTGACACAATCACCTCTCGCTTAGCTGGAATATCCCGATCCTTGAGGATTGATATAAGCTTGTCGGTCAAAGTGTCTTCCATTGTGTTTTGGGAGGTGTTGCGGAGACATAAACAGGGAGCTCCGAAAAGTGGAGTTGCGACTTTCTCTGCAACACTGGCATATTTATGGGTTCTATTTAGACAAAGATTGTTGTATGTGATGTTTATTGTTTATATATATAAAATACCTTCTGAACAAAGGAGAAGCTATAGATGTATATTGTGCAAGTATTTTTGAATTGAGTCAGAATACAAGTCAATTGAAGATATGAAAGGACTGGCATAGCTTTGAAAGAACCTCTTTGTGCTATTAATTCACCCGTTAGCCTTATATCTTTCAAATCTTGTTTTACTCATGAACAAGAGCGAGATTGAAGGTTGAGTGCTCGAGTATAAAAGGTCCATTCCCCCAAGGTTTTGGATACATCACCATCGACTCGAGCTATTTAGCTAAACGTTTTTATTCAGATACAACACTGAAACCAGTAAGGATTCCTTCCCTACATCAACCATGGACGCAACAACTCTGAAGGCCGCGCGAGAATTCTTCGCCGACTCGCGAAATGAGTTCGTCGTATATCTCGAGCAACTGTCCGCCGGGGATATCTCATGTCAGGATGTCCCTGCAATCCAGATTGAGCTTCGTCGTATAGCCCGCACACTCTCTGGGTGGAAGGAGCTTCGAAATTATTCCAACGAGCCGACTTGCAGTTGCTTTTCGGACCATTTATGCAACCTCTCAGGTATTGTTGTAGAAGTCGCTGATCTGGTCACTATCAAGGGTGGGCGGCTTCCTCTTACAGTTTCGAAAATGTTCAATATGCTGGCTATGCAGGTAGGACGACTCACTATTGATGGTTATCGCGAAAAGGATGAGTATGCGCTTAGCTTTGATCGATTGGCCAAGTACGAAGACCGTAGATGGCAGATTGGGTCCCAGGGACCGGATGACGGTAGAGCTGCACTTCTCTTTGGCTTGTGGACTCGCATGAGTCGCACCTCGGAGCGTGGTCCTAATTGCAACGCCTGCATGTGCTGACCGGTAATCTTGTGTTCTAACTTTTTTTATAGGTCAATGATATAACTGCAGAATAAAAAACAAGTACAAGTCCAGTAAAAAAAAGAGTAGAGGTAACCATTTTCAATGGTGTTTATGTACTCCGTATATACCGAAATATTAAGAGCGGCAGAGAGAAGGCCCAAAATGCGGCTGCCTGTGGCTGAGTAATCCGGTCCAAGAAAAAGGAGCACGTTAGAACAGAAATAGAAGAACAATATATTCAAATCTGTTCAAGTACTCTCTACTCCCTACTCCCTACAGAAAGATCATATAACAGTGTATTGCGACGTCTCTCGATTAGCTCGATTAGCGTCTCCGCAAATCCAAAGCCCGCCCTTTCGACCTTCACGAATCTGTTTACCATTTACCATTTACCATTTACTTCTACTTATACCCATACCTTGAAAAAAAATTTCAGTGGATGCGCCGGCGACGGAATCGCAATGTTCTTTTAGAATACGGTCACAAAACAGTCCAGTCCTCGAATCGAGTCTCCTTTCCCAGCCCCCGAGTGGCATTCGATCCATATCCAATACATATTCAACAGTAGACAACCCAAAATGTCTACCAAACCCTCACCAGAACCCCGGGGCCCCAGCCCAAGCCAGACCTCCGGTTCCACCTCCGCCTCGAATGGCAACGGGACACCCACTCCAAACGATGTAGAGATGAAGAGCTTGCGTCCTGATCCCCCTAAAGGCTCAATTCCTCTGGGAGAGGATGTGATGCAGTTGGCTCGGATGGGGGAGATTGGCACCATGCAGAAGTTATTCACGGCCAAAAAGTTCACCGCAAACCACCGCGATGAAGAGGGGATTACACCACTGCATGTTCGTTACAACCCAGCACAACATCTAACAGGGATCTGTTTACTGACCGCATTATCCTTTTCTAGTGGGCGGCAATCAACAATCAATATGCGATGTGTAAATTCCTGATCGACTCCGGAGCCGACGTCAACGCCAAAGGAGGAGAATCGGTGGCCACACCAGCCATGTGGGCTGCACAACGGTGTCATTATTATATTGTGAACCTACTGCTTCAGAATGGAGGCGATCCTCTTCTGACGGATGTCCAAGGATACAACATTCTACACCTCGCAACCATCGATGGCAACGCTTTCCTAGTCGTGCTGCTTTTACACCAGGAGATCCCCGTGGACGTTGTTGACCAACAAGGGCATACTGGACTGATGTGGGCTGCATACAAGGGGTATCCTGCATGTGTGGACTTGTTCCTGCGATGGGGTGCCAATGCAAACGCCGTGGACGAAGGTGGTTTGACACCGCTTCATTGGGCGTTGGTCAAGGGCTCAATGCCCTGTGTTTTAAAGTTGCTTGAATACGGCACTGACCGTTTCGCAAAGACCCGCGATGGAAAATCACCTGCGACTGTGGCTCAGGAAATGAACACCCTGCGGGTTTGGTACCGCTCGCTCAATGAGCGCGGCTTTGAACCGGATGGCACCCCAAAAGTGGTGCCTCTAGGCCTTGCAAACTTTGTACGCAACAAGAGCATCATGGCCAAATTCTTCTTCCTCTGGCCTTTCTTGATTATTCTGGTTGCCATCTGGATGCTTAGTAACCTGTCGATTTTCGTTGCTGTGCCCCTCGTATTAGTGACAGTCTTCGGGATGCAGTACGTTGCACAGCAATTCGCGAACAAGGGGCCTATCGAATATCGTGTGCTGCACAAAACACCGTATCTTGCTGGTGTCTTTGCTGGCACGTTGTTTTGGGTTGGCTTCCGCTATGTTTTTAAGGTGCTGCCAGCAACCTATTTGTCGTCTCCGATTCTGAACATCTTGTTCGCAGTCTTCTTCTGCTTGACTACTTATTTCTACATTTTTGCCATGGTCCAGGACCCGGGTTATGTTCCGAAAGTGAGCAGCAAGAATCAGCAGAGAGAGATTGTTAAGGAACTGTTCGAGCAGTGGAGGTTCGACGAAGAGAATTTCTGCATCCCCTGTATGGCAAGAAAGCCACTCCGAAGCAGACACTGTCGGCGTTGTGGGCGCTGCGTTGCGAAACATGATCAGTATGTGTCGTGAGAAATTTCTATTGATCTGACCACTAATTTTCGAATAGCCATTGCCCATGGATTGATAACTGTGTTGGAGCAAACAATCTCCGTCATTTTGTTCTTTACATAGTCTCCCTCGAAGTTGGCATCATTCTGTTTGTGCAGCTGACTATTACCTGTGAGTACTAGTGGTCTTTTGCCTCGGATCAATCAACTAACATGATGGCAGATATCAATTCTCTACCCGCTCCTACCAATGCTACTTGCAATGTCATCAACGACACGTTATGTGACTACGCCTCTCGCGATCCCTTCACTTTGGTTCTTAATGTGTGGATTACCCTCCAGCTTGTCTGGGTCACGATGCTGTGCGCCGTCCAGCTCGTCCAGATTTCTCGCAACCAAACCACCTACGAGAACATGCGAGGCCACCAAATCGACCGGTCCTACCCAAGCTCCCAAGCGTTTGCATCGGCTATGACCGCCGGAACCACGTCAATGGAAGCTGCCGGTCTTTCGGCTTCCGGACAAGGACCGAACCCGGCCCTCCGCGGCCCATCCGAACCCCGACGGAAACATGGCTGCATCCAACAGTGGTCATCTCTTCTCGGAATCGACGCTTTTTGGACAACCGCTAAGGACGGTCTCCGCGACGGGCCCCAGGCGGCTCGTCCCCGAAATCCCTTCTCCCGCGGTGTCGTCACCAACTGCCGCGACTTTTGGTGTGACCCGGCTCCGCTCTTTGGCAAGCGCCAGACCGGGGCGGCGATGCTCGGTGGCGAGGTGATCAACTATCACGATATGTACGAAACCCCAATGCGCATGCACACTGGCAACCGGTCCGGCGAGGGACCTGGCTACCGCAGCGTTGCTGGCGAGGACCCCGAACGCATGGTGTAAGATGATCCGAGATCTGAGCGTTGTTTGCATTGATATCCTTCTACCCTATGTTTTATTATGCAAATCAGCGCGGTGTTGTATTATCGGGGCACGTGGCATGACCAAATGTTTGCATTTTGCATTTAGAAGGATCCTATACAGTTGACGTTAGACATTAATGATTCCAAGGTTCCTTTTACTATACTATTATGGGAAATGACTTGGCTTTTTTTTTGAGCAGCAACAGAAACCAGTATTCATCAGGTATATATGACACCCACTTAGCGTCCAAGCTCCTCAGCATCCCCACAGTTTCACATTCCCATCAGATAAGATAGATCATTTCCCTTGGCTCTTGCAGCTAACCAACAATAAGCTGCATAAATGCCGAGTTCCGGACCCTTCCCTCGGCGTTTCTGGAACGATACCTACCTAAGTAATTAGGAAGGGCAGTCCTATTCCGTCCGAACGGGCCGATTGGTGCGTCCAACTGGGTCTAGGTCTACGTCTAGGTACATATGTACACTGCACATGACAGGTTCATGCTTTACATTACGCATTATAGCATAAGATATAAAATGTACCTGCATGGGAGCTCTGGAGGTGCATATGCCAGCGCACATTGACAAGGAAGGTGCTGTAGCTTGCGATCCTGTCAAGCGGATAGCGGGAGTAGTGACTCCAGATGTGGAACCTTGGCAAGGCTACAGCCTTTCAGAGACTCGGGAGAAATGTTTGACGACCGAGGTTCCAGTATGGCCTGATGTTTCTAGTGAACTCTCTGATCTAGCGGTCAACGATGTTTCTTGGCCGATTACACAAGGTACCGTGCTTGACTTAAAAATTCTTACTTAGACACAGAATAGGCAATACAATGCTAATCCAACGGCTTTCAATAATGGAGCCCAAAACAAGTCCAAGTCACAATCTGAAACCTACCTCGGTAGACGAAGGAGACATCAGAGAGTTCCCACTCTGAACATCTCCGATATCGCCGAAGAAACAGCCGAAACTCAGTGGGAGATTGGGGAAGATCTAATCTCTCGGGTATCCTATGGACCTATGGAGATAAACGCGCATGGGGCGAATATGAAAAATAGGGTAATTTCTTCAGGGAAAATACAAGATCTACTATAATATCGTACGATGCATATGGACGGTTTCCGGAATAAAGAATAAAATTCAGATTTACAGATTTATAGATTTACAGATTTGCAATTTTACAATTTTACAACTTTACAACTTTAAAAAATACAAAGTCATAACAGTGCGTATGCATGCTCCATCTCGCTAACGACTCAACTAGGCAGGTGACGGAGCTCTAGGAAGCCACCTTTACTTAGTGCGGAATCGGGGTTCATTGTATATTTTCTATAAGGGAGAAGCTACAGTCAAGTCCAGTCTAAAATTTCTTAGAAAAAAAAAAAAAAAAAAAAGAAAAAGAAAAACTGCTAAGTCCGATCAGATAAAGATTTCAAGTTATCTGATCCATGCAGGGACCCACTTGCTTTTATCTGATTTGTGATTTTTGACCTTCCAAGGTTTCCAAGGTTGGAACTTCCCATGAAATAAACAAAAATGACAGGCAACCTAGACATCTGTAAATCCCGCACACTCTGTACCCAGTGTACCCAAATACCTTCCAGGATTGGGATCGGCATCGATCAGCGCGTGAGTTTTGATTTTTTGAATTTCATTGTGTCCCGCACTTGCCAAGAAATATTTATATTTGATTAAGAGCTGTTTTTTTTTACCGTACTTCCGATCGGTGTGTACGGAGTACGCCGATTTTACTCCACCTACAGGTCGGGACACGCTTCGGTACTTGTTACCTGCCTAGGAGTATACAGGGATGATCCCAAGTGCCTGAAGATCTGATGGGGTAAGACGGATAATAGGTACCAAGGTTAGTATTATGAGTGTAGAAAACACATCGGAGAAAATCACTGAACAAGCTCATCATTAACAGAAAAGTAAAAAAAAAATAAAGAAAAAGAACCTCTAAATACACAGGATGTCTAAATGTTTCACCCAGAACAGTAAAGGGAGGGGGGAATCATCGAGAGCTGTCTCGCCAG